TACATTTTTAAGAAGGGGGGTCAGGGTGTCCCAAAAAAGAAAACTCAAAGAAAATTCTCCTGAGGTCTAAGAAATTAACACACAATTGCTATAAAGATGATGTTATAAGAACTTTGTAATCTGATAGTAGAATACGAGGCATCTGCAACAATAAGGCTGATAGAAATCTTCCTTAAAACCCCTCAAATCAAACCCCATAGGTGACTTTTTAACTTCAGCTTAAGGTCAGTCTGGTTTCAAGTAAGAGATATGCTTAGGGCTATAAAACTCTACAGTAAATGCTGTGTGTGTGTGTGTGTGTGTGTGTGTGTGTGTAGACTTCTCATTGATAAACTGCTCTCTTAGAACCTCAATAACATTTAGGATACATCTACAAAATTGGAACTCGCGCCTAGCTAGCGTGCGACTAGTGTGAAATGTACATACAAGCCAGGAGCTTTCTACCCGACACCTTCCCAGCAGAGACGTGGTTGAGCTCACCTTTCTTTGGTCTGGATTTCACTGGCAGGAACTCCTTTTTTTCCATGGCTGCTTCTCTTTCTTTCCATCGTCGGATCTGTTCCTCCCTCATCTTGAAGAACAGGATCTGTTTCTGTTCTTCACTGAGCTCTGCCAATAGATCAGGATCTATGTACATCTCCGCTAGTATCTGTTTCAGCATCTTTGCAGTTCTGGAGTCCTTTACACCCGTGGCAAAAGTTCCTGAGAATGGCTTGCTGACGTGCCTCCACCTGGGCTGGCACTTAGGCGTCACCACAAACCTTCCTGGGGACTCCCACAGCCCAGCAATCCCAATGGACTGGGACAAAAATTTAGCAAACTGGCTCCTGGGATCTGGCACCAAACTTCCTGTCCAAAATGCTGTTCACCGAGCCTGCAAAAAGCACCAGCACAAAATCAGGGAGTATCAAAATGTGTAGACGCTGGGCAAGGATAGGCTTATAAATAAAGCTTCGAGGAAATACAGTATCACTTTTCATTCCAGGGGAAAAAAGAAGAAGGAAGCTGAGGCATGCTTTGTTAAGACTTTGTGTAACCTCTATCCCGTAATTTCCAAAGATACTTTATCAAAAAAAAATAATAAAACAAACCTTAACTTTATACAGGTCAATCTCAGGGGAACAAAAAAAAAATTAACAGAGGTTTGGGCTTTCTCCCAACTAAGCAAACATATTATTACCTCAGAGCCAATTCTATATAGCTGAAAAAAGAATTAAAGAAGAAAAGAAAAGATCACAGGAAGAAACTAAAAGTCTCTCTACAAACAATTTATTTCAGAAGAAAATACCATTTTTGAGATTTCACAGCTACCCACCCCAAACCAAACCAAAAGAGAGTCATGCTCAAGGAAGAAAAGAGAATAAATAAAACTAAGACCACTATGCAATTTTTGCATTTTCCCTGAAAGCAGCACTAAATAAACACCATTGTGTACTTTTGTCTTCACAAAAGGACAGTATAATTTCTAGACAACCTCCTAGATCTATGAAAACAGAGCAGGTGCAGGAGAGAACACTCTTGCACATTCTGGAAGGTCACCAGGTTTTAGTTGTATCATTTCCAAATAACCTAATTGAATAAAATCTAAATTTACAGACCAGATAAACTACGGGAATGAAGAGATCACTAGGTTCGTAACAAAGGATCCTTGACTTATAAAAGTTTGTTAGAAGTCTCCTTTAAAATGAAGCTGTGGACTCAGGCATGCAGAGGGATTTCACAGAGACAGAGGTTCTGCTGGCGGGCGGGGGGGAGAACGGAAATCCACTGAGGTTTCTCTCTACTTTACACATTTTTATTTGGTTGAATTTTTTTAAAGAAATACCAAATCTCCATACTTTTATAATCAAAAGGAAATTATGTCTATGTTTCCATTCTGGGAAAAAAAAGACTTTTCATTTGTTTAAAGTAACAGGATATATAAAAATCTTACTATGACTTTTCAGGATCAGCTATGTTCTAAGCAACTGACTAATAATTTGCCAATTATTAGCCAATGATTGCCTCAATAATCTCATCACCTAGTCATGTCCTCTCAAATATCTTGTTTATCCACAGTAAGTTCAAAGGCTCGCATAAACATCACGCTAGTCACTTAGCCATGACAGGGTCATAATGTTCTGGGCCCCTCCTAGTTCCTGCACCTTGTCATTGACAGGGCTAGATCTCTAATGCTCCTCTCACCGCCTGGGAGTCCCCTTCAGCTTCTGCTAATGCTCTTCTTCCCTGAAAAGTTGTTCTTGCCTTACACTGGTCTCCTGAGACAAGGAAGTTCAACTGCCTGGGTAGCAGAGTCATCTGCGTATACAGCACTTAGGGTCATTGGCCATTCATTGTGCTGTGGAAGGGGATTTTACTGTAGCTACACCTGTTCTTACTAACTATAACCTAAAACTTCCCGCAGCATTCCACACCCAGAATTCAAAGAAAACAAAATATTAAGAGGAAATAAAAAAGAATTAAAAATATAGTGTCACTGACTCTCAATCAGTCCAGGCACGCCCCTTCCAGGCCCCCTTGCAAACTGTGCATTTTGCTTTGGTTCCTCGGCACATTTGACTCCAGTGCTCTGAGATAAAGTGGTAAGAAACCAAACTGAATGACTCCTTGACATTCCAATAAATGTCCTCGTGTTGGCACATTCCAGGACTGCAGTGGTTGACTTTCAGAGAAAGAAAACATGGTAGAAAACAAGCAGCCTGATGAGGTTTGAGGTTTCTGCTCTGTTCCCTCTTCTAAGTGGGGTGAATCCTATTCAAGGGGTGGGTAAAGCCTGAAAACTAAAACACTTTCCATGCTAAGTTCACATTCCTCCTCTCCCCTCCCCCACCCAGAGTCATGGTAGAAAACAAGCAGCCTGATGAGGTTTGAGGTTTCTGCTCTGTTCCCTCTTCTAAGTGGGGTGAATCCTATTCAAGGGGTGGGTAAAGCCTAAAAACTAAAACACTTTCCATGCTAAGTTCACATTCCTCCTCTCCCCTCCCCCACCCAGAGTCCTCCTGAGAACAGACCTAACACCCTGTGCCAGCACTACCTTAAGCTCTTTGCGTGCCTTAACCCACTGGATCTTCACAATAGTCCCCTGAGTTCAGTCCATCACATCCCCATTCCACAGATTAAGAAGATGGAGCACAGAAGGCCGGTAGAGAGGAAGTGGTGGGGCAGCCTGGATCTAGGCCTGCTCTACTGTGTGAGTTTCTACGTGAGCCCAGAATCAGAACAGCATCACAATGTGGTACCACGTGTGACATTGCAGAACAAAACCCAGCAAATTCCTGCGGCAACAGGAATACCTATCTGAACATGCATGAGAGTGGTTCCTCTCCTGGGAAGGACAGCGAGGAACTGACCGTCACACTGGCCCAGGTGTGCATCTTGGTTGCAGTCCGTAGTCGTCCCTTAGTCTCTGCAATCTCCCCTTCCAAACCACCACTAGAAAGCCACAGCATACATGGTGCAGCCTCTCACGTGTGAAGAGTTCCATGGCACCTCTGGGATGACATGCCCCAGCTCTCTCAGCTTTAATTTTGTTTTGCTTTGCCTTTTGTAGCAAATGTGGATTTCTAGCATTAAAGTGAACTAGTCAGTCTTGAAGGAAAGACACTGACTTCCTTGGGTCCTCAAAAAATACGTGGGGACCCAGCTGATAACTACTTATGGTCAGGCTATGGAATGTGGGTGTCACTCTGTGGCTGTTGATTCCCACTGGTGCGAATGAACTCTCCTCCCACCCGCCACCCGGCACCCCAAGGCTTTCAGAGGCAAATTCAAGCCTGTCACAGTGTGCTCACAGGACAACCAGCAGCTCTGCCTCTCAGCAGCTGTGTGGCTCTGGGCCGTCACTTCATGACCTTGGACTCAGTCTCCTCATCTGTGAAATGGGGGCCAGTTCAGCCTGTGAATCTTCATAATTTGTGGACTATGCGATATAATCTGCATTTTGTGAAGTTGTGGAGACAAGCCAAGCCAGGGTACAGGAAATGGAAACGAGGAAATTAACTAACCAGGGTTTTTCCCACTTTCAGTCCTGGGCAGGACAAACAATCATTGCTGATACTGATTCAAACTCAAACGACTTTCCCACATCTAATATACTGAGTGCAGCAAACTTCCAGTTATTCAAAATCCAATAAAAGGAAAAGTTCAGCTAACTCGGTTTTCTTCTTGTAAAGCACCCTTCTCACAAGACAGGAATGACAAGCAACTGGCCCAAACCAGCTATTTATCCCCAAAACCAATTTCTAAAGAGTCATAGGATCGGTTAAGTTTTCCATGATAACCCATAGATTCAGTCTAATTCTCACACCTTCCACAGTTACTGTTCTACATTACAATTGGGTTTTTCATGACTCCGAGACCTGAAAATAAAATGAAATAAAATAGAATAAAGGCTTGACATACAGCTTAAATCACAAAAATATTGTGGTATGGACAATATAACTTTAAAGTTAAGAATATAGCTTAAAGATAAAACATGCACTTTCAGCTGATTAATTTCAGTGAATTACACTTAATTTTGAAATAGGAATGATGTATTTTTGTCTCTTACCTAAGTTTATACTGATGTTTATGAACCATTTATCTAATACTACTTTTCAATGTTTTCATGAATGCATTTAAAAAAAGAACTTGAGCAATGTCGATAAAAGATGCTCTTTGAGCTGCTTTATTTCGGTAAATGATACTTAATTCTGAATTAGAAATGATGTATTATTGACTAAAAATTGGGTTTATACTAATGTTTTTTACAATTTATTCAGTGCTGGTTTTCAATGGGTTTACTTACATGCATTTAAAATCAGAACTTTGGAAAGGTGGAAAAAGATACACTTTCAGCTGTTAGATTTTAGTGAGTTAAACTTAATTCTAAATTAAGAAAGATATATCATTGTCTTTTATTTAACTTTTATATTGATGTTTCTGAATCATTTCTAATACTGGTTTTCAATGGGTTTTCATGTATTTAAAGTCAGAATTTCTACAAGGTAGATACAAGATGTACTTTCAATTGCTTCATTTTAGTGAATTAAACTTAATTCTAAACCTAATTACAAATGGTGTATTATTCTTTCTTACTGAAGTTTCATAAAGAAGTTACTGATCCACTTATGCAAAGCTTGTTTTCAATGAGTTTTCATATAAGCATTTAAAAGCAAAATTTCAGCGTGGTAGGTAAAAGATGCACTTACAGCTGCTTCATTGCAATGAATAAAACTTAATTCTGACTTTTTAAAAAAAATTCTAATTCTTTTAAAAACAACCAGCTCTGTTTTCAAACTTTCACTTATTCAACTTTATCTTATTAATCTAACTGCAAAAGGGCTGTTTTTGATAAGATAAAGTAAATTACTAGAGATGACAGCAATTTGGTAAGTTCTGTAAATATACACCATTCGCCAGAAATTTGAAATTACTGCGCACACGGATTTACCCAGAAAATTCCACTCACATGACAAATCTATGCCCACGTATGCCTTCCACTTACGCATCCACTTTTCAAGTCGTTGTTTCTATTAAACAAGCAATCAAATAAAAGCCTTTCGGGAGGTGAGGAGAATCTAAGTTGAGAAAGAGGGAGAGACACGCCTGCTGCTTCTCTGAGACCCTCGGGGAGGGAGACAGCTCTGAGAACACCTGCACGCGGTGACTCCTCAGGGCGCCCACGTGGCTTGGGGAGGTCACCGCCGAGATGGCTAGGGCCGCCTCCGTCAGGGTCAGCCCTCCAGCGCCTGGCCCTGCGTGGGGACGCCCCCGGGGGCGGTGCGCGAGGACGGGGGCACAGTGGCCAGGACAGGCGAGCAGGGGCCCGCGGTGAACTACCCAGCCGGGGA